TTTATTTACAATATGCAATCTATTATCAATCTCATGCTATGTATTCATTTCAGAAATATTTCTCTAAAATTCACTCTGTCTGCATCTTATATCTTTCACATTTCAATATTTGTCTACAATTTTTATTTTTTATTGACTTTATTAATTAACAAATAGCAATGAGATAGTTTCAAAACAGGTTAGTATGACAGTTACAATAAATAATACATTGTATATTGTTGTCTTCATAGTAGTTATTCATAATACAAGATGCAGATATGATATCCTGCCCAAACACTATTAGTACAAATCTTTCTTCTCATTTAATTAAGAGGAAGTAGCTGTATATCTATCCTAGCTTTTCTGTGTATACATATACAGAATGTTCCTTCATCTATATTCTCCTTTTTGTTTAGTTTTGTCAGAGATAGGTATACCATTCCCATTTAAATATTGTAGGTGAGCGAATTCAGCAAAATAATCCAATATAGTCCAGTAGTCCATAATAGTAGTGTGTTATCCATAGGACTGGCAATGTCAGAAGTTGTTGACTTGAATTTTCTGATCAAGGAGACTATGGGGCCACAGAGGAAAGTGATTGATGATGTAGCGTGTGCCTAAGGAGAGTCACATGGAAAAAAAATATTCTCTCAGGCATTCACAGAAAGCAAATTGGTCAAGCAATGGCCATGACTCATCCACATGGTGGATGCTGACAAAGGATCTACAATCTGCAGTACAGGGTTACAGGATAAATCCTGAGGCGATATGACTGACCTTGCCAGATACAGAAGTTACATTTCTTGTTTTATAGGTCTTGCTTTATCTTGGTCTTAACCATCCAGCAGAAAAGTATAAAAACGAGATATAAAAAGTAAAGCCATATTAATATGCTGAGCTGTTTTTTGTTGTAACGTTTAATTTTTTTGCTACTATATGTTTACAATACATGCTGGTTATTTCCCTTGTGAGAAGTTGGTACCCGCACATAAAACAACTTAAGTATTTTTGATGTTTCCTCTCAATGATTTCTTAAATAAAGAAATGAGCTTAGAGTGATGCAATAAATTCATATGATGCCATTTTTATTTCAGTTTTTCTCTCTTTCTCTTTTTTCAATGTATTTGGTTGTCACAGAGTTTCACTACACAGCTCAGACCCATGGTGACCCTCCTGCTTTCAGCGTCCCCAGCGCTGGGATTACAGGCATGTGTCACTACACTCGGCCTCTGGCTGGCACAGCCATGGGGGCGTGGGTGGTGTGGTATGTGGTACCCGGATTGAACCACAGTCCCTGAGCCTGCCTAAGTTTGCCCAAGCAGGTGCTTTAGTCTGCTGAGCAATCTCACAGGCTCTCCGCTTCTTTTTTTGAGGTTTTTTTTAAAATATTATTTAGAGTGTGTGAGGTTCCAGACTCCTCCTAAACAGAGCTGCGTAGAAAGCACAGCACACTTCCCATCCATGGACTCCACTTTCCATTCCTGGCTGTGCAGGACCCTATCCTCCCACCCCATCTTGGGGTCAGGGACAGCAGCTCTTTGCTCTGGCCAGTAGGAAGCACCTCTGAGTGAAGAAATGGTATCATTTATGCCACCCATGCAGATTTTCACTTACAGTCAGCAAATAGTTACTTTTTTGGTCAAAAACTGATACAAGAGATTGGGTATAGAGAGAACAATAAGAAGTGATTTTTGTTCTGGAACAGTTTTCTCTATTCCTTTTTTTGTTTGTTTGTTTTTTGGGGGTACAATAGATTGAACTGAGGATCATGCACTTGCCAAGCATGTGCTTACTCTACTGAACTATCTCCCCAGCCCATCTGGAAAAGGTTTAATTTGTTACTTCTTCTGAAAGTATATTTTAATTAATAGGCAACAATGGTATAAGCACAATTTTAAAAATGTCTTACAATATCAAGAGTGGCAGAATTTTAGCTGTAACTAGATAAAGTTAGTTGGAGTTGTATGGATGGCATCAAAGAAAATTGGGTTTTTTTGGCACAGGATTTCCTGAAAAATAGTCATCAAGCATTTCATGTGTATAACAGAAGACTGGCTCACAGTCCAGAAGGAATCAAGGAGAAAGCGGATTGGGAAGTGAGGCGCCTTCCCTTCTTGACCAGGAATGCATGATCAACTGAGAATGAATTGCAGCTTTTGCCCAGCTACCTGCTCAGGCTCCAGCTTTGTGTGGCCCAGTCTGGACCCACAGGCACTCATCAGGCTTCCATATGTGGGCTTCAGATCCCACAGGATTGGCTCCTTTCATGCCTGAAGGAAGGGCACTGTAGCTTTTCCTACTCCACATTATTTTGATGGGATTCAGTAGTGCAGTTGGGTGCTTTAGATTCATTTTCACTGTTACAAGCTTCATCTATATAATTATAGAATATTTAAAAACATTATGCAGTCATCCAAAAAAGATATGTCAAAAATACCCATCACAGCAATAACAGACACACCCTGCAATCTAACAAAATACAAATCTATAGTAGAATAGATAAATAAAAATATTCTGTGTAGTGTTTGACTTTTTCTTAAGAGACTGTAATATAGCACAGATAGTGAAGCATGTGTTTTCCTAGAAGTGTTATTTTAAAGAGAAAATGAATTATAAAATATTTTATATTTATGTTAGGGATAAATAATATTATTTTGGTGGTCATGTAATTATTATTCTGTAAGAAGACACCTTTTCCTAGGTAGAACCTGATAGGACAAGACCTTACTCAAATTCTATCCTAAAAGGTGACCAATAGCTCCCACCTCTGTCTGCTCACTTCTCACATTGGACTGTCAGCTGAGACCACTAGTTATCACCCATTAAGACTAAAAGTTTATCGGTAACATTTTGCAAGGGCATGATGTTCAGGAGAGAGTATGTTGGCCTAGATTATATTGATAACAAGGAATGGATTGAGAAGGAGAAACCATACCCTGAAAAACCTTCAGGACTGCCATTATATTAGTGATTTTCATTGAGCACACATAAAATCAGAACCTTGTAATAGAAATTTAAAATATTTCATTGTCTTTTGTATTATAAATGTCCAACATTCAAAATTTAAAATGGAAATTGTTCTGTTCAACATATTTATGGCTCAGGATTTGTGGTCCTGTTTTGCATAGAAGTTAACAAAATTGTATTTCTTGTTAAGACATTTAATAGAATGCCTGTGGTTGAAGCTTTATTCCAAGGAACATACTCACATTGTTATAAAACTTTCTTGGAACTTTCTGGTGTCTTTGTATTTCTCTTCTGTTGTCATCAGAAATATAATTTTATAATCTTTGGGTCCTTGGTCAAAATGATGACCCCCTCAAAGCGGCAGGCTCCGAGGCCCACATCTTGTGTTTCCCCACCGGACCTGCATTTATAAGCTCTCGCACTAGGCTAAACATTCTGCATCCCCATCTTGAAAGTATTAAAAGTGTATTAAGAAACTAGCTGGCATTCTCATTTTGTGCTAAGACCTGTAAATTGAAGGGCTAATCTTGACATTAAATAGAAACTTAAAACATGTTTGCAGCAAGGTTTCCCAGGTGACAATTCTGCACTGCAGGGTAACACACAGGATGTTTAAGGAGGACTCTTAGATCAAAGCAAAAGTGGACAGAGAAAGAAACTGAGTCATTGTTTAGGACAAACCACAGCCCCAGCTGATCCCATAGGGAGCACAGAAACTAGAAGGGACCTTGCAAATTATCCAAAGTAGCACTGAGGTAGTCTGACCTTTATACATCCTTCCCCTCCAACAATCAGTTGTTGGGTTTGAGCTGTGCCACGTAGAGGGCTGGGGCTGTCTATGATGGAAGAAACCCTCAAAGGGATAAGGAGCCAAAGACTCTATTTCAGCAGTCTATCTCAATATCTTATGTCATCTTAGGGTCAAAGGACTTTCACTGAAGAGAGACCTAAGCAACACAACTCCTTGTCCCCAGTCTTCCACATGGATACACAAGAGTGTGACCTTCTAAGACATTTAGGTATCCCCTCAGTAGCAGTTAGCCTACTTGTAATTGTTTAACCACTTCCTAGTTGATGGATTGATTTGAATGTCATAAGTTTTAAGGAATTTGGTCACTTTTACTCCTCATTTTAACTTTACCTCATGCATGAATTTGTTAGTACTGGACTTGGAACTTTAAGCTGCCAATGGAATGAGGCAATGCTAATTGAAATGGAATTGATTCTAAGACTCTGACCTCATTGTTATGTTTCTTAGACCGACTAAGATGCTCCATTTGCCTTACTAAATTTGGCTGTTCCCATTGTGCAGAAAGATGTAAAGACCACCAAACACTTAATATCTTGGAAATATAGCTTAAAATGTCAAAAAAGTAATTTGAAAAAATGCATTGTTATCTGTTTTAGAGAAACAAAATCAGCACCTTGTAATTGCTCAATAACAAACCAATAACCACTATCACATCTTAACTACACAAAGTAGATAATTGTTGTACTTGGATTTCCTTTAAAATGTGAGAGTCAACATTAAGCAAGAACACAGTTTCTAGGGCCAGCCAGATAGCTCAGCATATTGAAGTGTCTGCTGAGGTAGAGCACAGTGGCCAGGGGGCGATTGAGACTGGGCGTGGTGGCCTGAACCTGTAATCCCAGCACTTGAGAGGGTGAACACAGGAGAATTCCTAGGAGACCAATCTGAGTAGTGAGACCCTGTGGACCTGGTAGACCTTGCACTAGACCCTGTAGACCTGGTAGACTTTGCGCTAGATACATAAAAAAAGAACATAGTTTCTAAAGCATGAAGGCAAGTACTAAAACCTAGAACTCCTCCAATGCTTCCCTGGAAACACAGACTCACCTAGGAGAGTTGTAATAAGAGTTTAACAGTGAGTGTCTGCATTACAATAAAGAAAGGAAGAAAAGATGATGAAATGACAGTTTATTCATTTAAGAAAAAGTAAAGAACCAATTACCAGGCGACTACATGAAAGAAACAGAAGAGAATCACTGTTTTCTAAAATCTTTTCACCTTCCGGCCAGCTCCAACAGTCTGTGCACGTTGCATGAGACTAGCGCAACTCATGAAGGTGTTCGTCACCCGCAGGATCCCCCCCGAGGGCAGGGCCGCGCTCGCCCAGGCCACAGAATGACCACCTACCTGGCCATGTGGAGACTCCCTGTGCATCTGTGAAGTGGAACTGTGGGATTCTGATGAGTGCATCCCCAACAAGGAGCTAGAACATGGTGTGGCGGGGGCCCATGGCCTGCTCTGCCTCCTCTCAGACCGTGTGGACAAGAAGATCCTGGATGCTGCAGGACCTAATCTCAGAGTTATCAGCACACTGTCCGTGGGTGTCGACCATTTGGCTTTGGATGAAGTTAAGAAGCGTGGGATCCGAGTGGGCTACACCCCAGATGTCCTGACAGATGCCACTGCGGAGCTGGCTGTCTCCTTGCTGCTGACCACCTGCCGCAGGTTGCCAGAGGCAATAGAGGAAGTGAAGATTGGTGGCTGGACCTCATGGAAGCCCTTGTGGATGTGTGGCTACGGACTCACCCAGAGCACTGTTGGCATCGTGGGGCTCGGGCGCATAGGCCAGGCCATTGCTCGCCGCCTGAAACCATTTGGTGTCCAGAAGTTTCTGTATACAGGGTGCCAGCCCAAGCCTCAGGAAGCAGCAGAATTCCAGGCAGAGTTTGTGTCCACCCACCAGCTGGCTGCAGAGTCTGATTTCATCGTGGTGGCCTGCTCCTTAACGCCTGAAACCAAAGGACTCTGCAACAGGGACTTCTTCCAGAAGATGAAGAAAACAGCTGTGTTTGTCAACATCAGCAGGGGAGATGTTGTAAACCAGGATGACCTGTACCAGGCCTTGGCCAGTAGTCAGATTGCAGCTGCTGGACTGGATGTGACGACCCCAGAACCGCTGCCTACAAAGCACCCCCTGCTAACCCTGAAGAACTGTGTAGGGTGTGCAACCTGCTGCAGAACTTCCTGCAGAAAGGCTAGAGGCAAGACCCACCCAGCTGATCCAGGAGCAGAACATCTTGCTAGAGTGGCACAACGAGTTCACTTCCAAGGGCTGCAGCAGGAAGAAGTGCAGCACAGCAGCCAGACCCAAGCCACACCCACCTGGATGAGTTTGAATTTGGTATGACTGCACTAAGGTCATAAGACAGTACTATACAAAATGACAAAGAGAAGGAGCAAAATGCATTCTCAGGCTCCGAGCCAACCCAGAACAAATGAAGGCGACAATAGCATAGAAGAAATTGGAAAGCACACACCTGAAATAATAGCATCTGAGGTAAAGAAACAACTGCAGAAAGGTATAGAGGAAATCAGATTAGAAATAATTTCTGAAGTAAAACAAAGAAATGATAACTATAATAAAAGAATTACTAAGTGCTTCTAAAGATACTGATAAAAAATAGAGGAGAATAGAAAAATGATGGAATCCTTGAATGAACAAATAGGAAAGAAATAGAATGCGTGAAGCAGATTCAAAGTGCTATACAGGAAATTAAAACTTCAATCACAAGCTGGCAAAACTTTGAATGAAAGTGAAAATAGACTTTCAGGCCTTGAAGACACTGTTGCAGCTACTGAAAAGATAAGAAAAGATCTCTTAAAAATAACTAGGATGCAGGAAAAATAATCCAACATCTGCAAGACGATGAAAAAATGAACAATGTAAGACTAATAGGCATCAATAAGAAAGGAGTCAATACACATATAAAAAGAATATGGGCAAAAGTAATAGCAGAAAACTTTCCAAATATGGGGAAACAATCTGACATTCAGGTAACTGAAGCATATAGAACTCCAAATAACATCAACCCAATTAAAACCACACCCAGACGTATAATAATCAAGATCCCAGATATTCAGCACAGGAACAGTATACTAAAAGCTGCTAGAGAAAAGAAACAGATCACATTTAAAGGAGAACCCATCAGAAAAATGGCAGATTTCTCTTCACAAACCATCAGGTCAAGAAGAGCATGGAGCAAAGTGCTACAAGTCTTGCAAAAAAAAACCCACATTCCAACCCAGACTGACATAACCTGCAAAACTCTCAAGTTGAATGGAGAAGTGAAATACTTCCCTGACAAAGAACAACTGAAGTATTTCACGATGACAAAGCCAACCCTACACAGACTACTAAAAGATATTCTAGAGAGGGAGCAAAATGACCACAACTCCATGAATGAGAACAGAAGGAGCCCACCAAATAGGGCAAACAAACACAGGAGAAAAAGAGGCATACAACAGCGGTCTTTCAATTATTCTTTTGTATACAGCAGCAAAATATTTCCATCAGCACACTCTACAAATGGACTTCTGCACCCTGTGGGTCATGATTCTATCCAGGTCTACAGGGTGGATATCAAGGAAATAGCAGTAGCTCAGTCCCACAAGTGACACCTGGCCACTAGTAAGCATCATGGACACTGTCCACATCTACCACATACTAGAACTTTGTGCAATATCCTATCCCCAAACTGTCAGAAGTACTGGTCATATATTTGCCATTCAAGTATTTTTGTTTTAGTCATAGTAATTCTTTACTATCATGAAAACTTTTTCTTAGTTGATGTTTTTGTATATATTAGCCTATTCAAATACTGTGTGAGTACTCTGAATTGATCACAGATTCATACATATGATACACTACACTCTGGCCTCTTAGTTGGACACACCATTTAATTTTAATTTTTGAATATTGTTTTGAAATATTTAATTTTGAATTAATTAATAATTAATTTTCTGGATATTGTTTAATTTTAATTTTTGTTTTATGTATACTGTATCTTTGACTTACAATCTACTTATAAGACATGGTATGATATTTTCTCCTGGTATTAGAAACTTTAACAAATGTATTTCCATTTTCCGTTGACTTTATATTAGTTCTTCCTTGTCTTTTATACACACACACATGAAAAAATACATATATAACCTAACATAAAATTGATACTGTTTTCTGGAAATCTTCAAGGACCTTTTAAATGGGTTTGTCTACTACAATTATATTTTACATAGTCCTACACAACTACCATTTTGAGAGCTCTTTATTCTTTATCTAGGACCATACAGCAACTTCTTTTGCCTTCTGGATTATGGTCTTTGTTATTTTCTATATGCTGTGTCTGGAGTTATTAGAATATTTCGAGTTTGTGTGATGGGAAAATATTTTAGTTTTCAAAGGTATGTTGGCTAAGTGTAAAATTCAGTGAGGACAGATCCATTTATTTTTCAGTCCTTTGAATAAATAAGTCTAGTTTCTTAAAAAAATAAATAAAAAATAAAATAAAATCTTTTCAGATGTTGAATATGTGAAGAGAAAGAATTTGACTTTAATTTTGCTTTCATTATTTCTATTTGCAAATTTAATGTTTCCAAATTTCTTAAAGTCTAGAAGGTGAGCATATTTCTCTAGAAACATGATTTTTTTTAGGATTATATAAATGTTGGTTAGGTATCTAAAAAACTAAAAGCAAGATATGAAAAACACTGTTTCATACATGCTTTCATTGTCCTTCCTATTTAGAATAAAGAATTCCTAGTATCTGTACATATTTTTGATACCACAATTTTAAATACAGATTCCAAAGACCCTGTGGATTGATTTGGGTCAACCCAGTTGTCTCAGTGCCAAAAGAAGCAAACTAGAAGTTATAAAATTTGTGGATAAATTTCTATTGCTTAAAAAGAGAAAGCAATATCTAACACAAGGTAAATTTACATATACTTTAAGTTTTTCCTCATATTGCATATTGCCATATTGCCAATGTTCTACAGAAGTAGACACCAACGCAGTTACCATTTTTTATCATACCATGCATGGTAATACGGCCTCTAGACAGAACTGTGAGCGTGTAGGATACGGCCTTCAGTAGGACTGAGAAGGGATTTATGCTTGATAAAGAAAGTAAAATGAAGAGGTTAGTCCTTTCCTTACTTCTAGCATTACAGGTGCTTCCTAAAATCTTGTCTGTCTCTTGTTTACCTCTTCTATTACCTTGTTGATTTTCTGAAGTCAGGGCATTTTTACCATCACTTTCCCTAGCAGAATCGCTGGTTATAATAAACCTTCAATGAATAAGAGAGGAAGCAGTGATGAAATTGATGAATACCTGCTGCCCCAGCAGGCACACACGCGCATGCACACACACAATAGCTAAGAAAGCTTGAGATCCAAAATATTTGCTTAAATCATACAAGGTCACACAACCATTTAACGGATGTGCTCTTCCCAGTCTCCTGACGTGCCGTCCACTGTTCTTCAAATGCTCTCACTCTTTTTCCACTGCATTTGTCTCTCCAGTTCTTTTTTTTATCTGTGAAACAAGATTGATTGATTGATTGATTGATTGATTGATTGATTTGGAAGAAAAAAGCCTAAGTAAAAACAAGTAGCAGAAACAATGTAACATGCAACAATACATGTTATAGATTTTTCAAAACAAAAATTGCAAATCAACAATGGTTGTGCTATTACCTATTTTTATTGTCAATTCTGTTGCTCATATTAACATATATAGTTATCCAAGATTGGGGGCTGGGGAGGTAACTCAGTAGCATGAGTGTCTCTTCAGTTTTGGGGGGAGTTTTTCTCCCCTGGACCTGAAGGACATCACTATTCTTGCACCACAACTGTTTCTTTTACCCCCCTCAGAAACATAGCAATGAAAACATTCATATGCTAAAATTAATACCAGCCTCATTCATTTTGTGTGAAATGTCATTGTTGAATTATAGAGCAAAAAATTATGAAAGCAGTTATTAAACATTTTCTGTCTTAAAATCAATACTTTATATTGACTGAGACAAACTAAGGCCATCAGTAGGACATGCTTTCCCGTGGAGGAACTCTGCGACACAAACATACTAATGAGGAAACATGATGTTTTGGAAGTTCTTTAGTGAAAAAGACTGCTCAACTTTTTCTTCTTTCAGAAAATGGGCAATTGTATTTCCTACAATGGGCATGGTCTAATGTAAACTATACCTGGATTCATATTGGAAATGAATACCCTCTCAGGTATTATTTATGGCAGTTATTCTTTGGAGAAAAAAAAGTAAAGTGATTACTAGAGATGAAATTATTTTTTTAATCCCTACTCTTGGTTCAAATTCACCTTTCTTGGGTTGTATAATAAGGCAATAAAATCAAATGATTTAGAAATTTATAGATTTTAAGAGAAAAGCCTAGTGAATGTTTTTAAAAACATATCATTACTTTCCATAATCTGTATTAATGATAAAATTTTCCTCTTATAAACCTATTTCACATCTGGGAAGTGCTTTTCTTAGTTCTGTACCTAGAAGACATGCGATGAGGATGGTGCTCCATCAATGTCACTAAGGCAAGGAGGGATGGAGAGTGACAGTGGCAGGTCTCCAGGGTGCATGCAAATCCAGGGCAAGAAGAGATAGAATTAGAATCTCAGGACCATCATTTGCCAAAACTCAACCCTCATGAATCTTGACATGACTGTCTCATATCAAACCTCTTCAAAATATTTCACCAGCAGTAGAGCAGCAAATATTCAGCTGAAATTCATTCTGGAAACACAGCTCAGATTGCACAAATTTAGGCATTACAGGGTAAGTTAGGGAGGCAATGTGATCCAGCAGCTTATGAGTATTTACATGTTGTATGTATTTATAGAAAATAATATTTTGTGTGTTTTCACATAGTTACATCAACTGACAACTTTTACTCTGCTAAAATACTCCTTTCTGAATTAAAATTAGACTTATTTTCAGTTTATTTACTTCTCTATTATCTCAGTTCATGCCTCAGAATCCATTTTTAATTAATGCATAAAGACTATGAAGAGTTACATAGTTCGATCATAGTTGAAAACATTGTAACAGTGAAATGACAAGAAAATTAACATGATTTAGTGCTTACCTACTACTAAGAAGTCTCAGTATTTATACAGGTAAGGTACATGCAACCAGTCAAAGAAATCCTAAAGAGTAATTAACTGCATCTTTAATACAAATTATAGA